GAAAGGGTTACAAATCATACTTAAGGTGTCACAACAGTATTAATTTCTGCTATATATTCTTACCAAAAATGCGCAAGTTTGAGTAGATGTAACTAATTCAAAACAAACTTCTGAGAAGTTTCCTTTTCAGATCTTGTAAAACCATTCTTTATAAAGATTTTAGTACCAAAAAATACATAGCCATCCAGCAAGGCACGCAAGTTTGTTTCGGTCGAAGTCGAGCAGGTGCTTGAAAATCTAGTCCAGGGCCTAATCACTCCCCACTCTTGACAGTATACAGAAAAATCAGCACGCCCTGAATTTTAATAAATCTGGTCAATACAGAAAGTTTACATGTTGTTTTTCATCTCATAAAAAAATTCAGCTCCAGTCTCGTATCAAAATGCCCGAATCGGAAGGGAAGATTCCGGGATTATTTTGCGTCAGCCATGATTTGACGTGAACCAAAGTGTAATACTGTTATGACACCTGCATTAAATCTGTACAATAATTACATTTTTATCCGCAACAATAAATGAAACCACTGCAAAAGGACACAGAACATTTTAATTCAAAATTTTGAACAAGTATTTTCAATGGAATATGATAATAAGGAACAGTAACTAAGCTAAAAAGCCACTAAAAGAATATGAATTTTTAGCTGAGCAAACATGAACCCCTGAGATCAAGAGACATGGAAAAGTAAGTATCCCCTGCTAACTGGCCATAACCACCTTGTGCTCTTTGTCATGATCGTATAAACGAGACAACTGTAGTCAATGCATTAAGGAAAATATAAGACAGTCAGAGAAAATTCTTACGGCGTGGAGATATTTGTTTTCTTCATTACCGATCTACTACTATAGACTGTTCGAAAATTTAATAAAATGTTACAAAATCTAAACTACGCGAGCGGTTAAGGTTTGTGTATGTTCAGGGTAGTGAAATTTTCAAAAATATATATATTTTTTATTTGTATCATTTAAGAAATACATAAAGATAAATTGAATATCTACGGATAATAAAATTTACTTTCAAGTAGGTTTTCGAGAAACTGTCACGGTAGTTCAATCAGTAGATCGCTGGCTCCGTGTAGTGAAGGTTGTGAAAAAAAATGTGAAGATGTTGGAAATGAATTAATTCCTTTTTTATTGTCTATCAATACACAGATATATATTATGGAGATATTGACCGTCTAGAGGTATGACGTGTAAAAAAAAAAGCATGAAAACATTGCACAGGTGACCGTAATAAATTTAAAGTAATAAAATTTTCGTGCTTGATACGTATTAACGTAAAAGAGAAATAATAATATATTAATAATAATATATTTTATAAAATCCAGCGAATTTATTACAAAATGTATCAAAAAAACTAAAAAAAGAAGATATTAAACAATAATTACTCCATTATTTCTAAAAGACAATCATCCTTTGATACAATTTGCGAGAATATTTAGAAACAAGAGAGCCTCTAACAATCTCAAGAACGTCAACGTCTCGGTTCCTGCAGTGACGTCATCCCTTAAGACCAGGTTTAATACCTAAAACGGCAAGAATATTAAGCATATTTCAAAGAAATGATGCACTTACATTATATTGAATTGTTTCTCCTTAACATCAAAATTTTCGACTATAGCTAGTTGCCGAAAATTTAAAATGAAGTTTTGAATAGGCCTCCTTGCTTATTACTAATTGCAAAACAGATTTTTTTTAAATATTGTTACTTAAAAAAAACAGACCTAAAAAAATGATTTCTCAATGCGGGTCACCAATAGCATACCTTTAATATGTCGTTTTGCATCTCTCATTATTTTTTTTCTTTTTAAGGAGATCGGGTGGTTGGATCGAGGTTACACAATGTTTATGTGTTTGTTTGTTTTTTAATTGCAGTGTCGTCATATTTCGTTATTTACAAAGAAAATCTGAATAACATAACAGAACAGTACATGCGCGATAACTTTTAATTGAACTTAATACAGTGAAACTCTACAAAAGACATTTGAGCTCACTTTGTGGTGATTTTTTTGCGTTTTGACACGAAACTTTCGCGTTAAAACACTAAATGTTCGACATTAAATTCGATACTTTTATAATAAATTTCACATTATAACGCAAACCTTTCGCAAAGAAAGGCATAACTAAAAAAAAAAACTTTTACGTTTTAACGCTTCACTTTTGCGATATAACGCGAAATTATGAGTATAAATTTCTAAAGCATAATTGTAAATTATTGCCTCTATGCTATTTGTGATAATTATAGAGCAGTTAGAGTTTGCTTTTTTGTGGCAGTTTTTTTTTGTTTTGATATTTTTGTGGTTCATTTTTTGTGTCCATTTCATCATCAATTTAGCAAAATATTTTTGTTGAATTGATGATTGTTAGCAACAGGGAGATACCATTGCCAATTTTATTGTTATTTGTACTAAGGAAACATTCTAGTGATCTCTCTTTAACAATTTTTGTGTGTTATACTTCTTATCATTAAATGAATGGAAATTTTGGCTCAATATACATTCAATTTGTCTTTTTTATGTTTCAACTACAACATAGCCAAGCCAGAACACTAGGATTATATAAATGATATTTTTGACCATTTGACCTTTACTAACAGATTAGAAATTATAATGAACGCAAATTGCAACTTACTACTCATAAATGAAATTTTCTCAGATAATTTTATTAGAAATGTTGCAAGAGTAGGATATATTATTTTTCAGATTTAAGAATAGTATTTCAAAACCCTACTCATCAATAAACTTATAAGTAATATAAATATTTCTTTGGTGTTCCTGTTTTAACCCACCTGAGCCAAAGGCTCAAGTGAGCTTTTCTGATCACATTTTGTCCGTAGTCCGTTTGTCCGTCCGTCTGTAAACTTTACACATTTTCAATTTCTTCTCAAAAACCACTGTGCCATTTTTTTTACCAAACTTTGTACAAAGCATCATTGGATGATGGGGAATTTGAATTGTTAAAACAAAGGTCCAAGTCCCTTTCAAAGCGAAGATAATCAAGAAAGACAAAAAATAGGGTTGGTTAATTAAAAAATCTTCTTCTCAATAACCAGTGGACCAGAAAAGCTGAAACTTATGTGAAAGCATCCTGGGTAGTGTAGATTCTAAATTGTAGAAATCATGACCCTCGGGGGTAGGGCGGGGCCACAACATGGAATTTAAGTTTAACATAGAAATATATAGGAAAAATTTTAAAAACTTCTTCTCAAGAACCATTGGGCCAGTATAGTGAAAATCATGTGGAAGCAACCTTGAAAAATGTAGTTCTAATTTGTAAACTTCCTGACCCCCGGGGTAGGGCGGGGCCACAATACGGATTCCAAGTTTTACATAGAAATATACTGTACAGGAAAACAAACTCTTTAAAAATCTTGTTCTCAAGAACCAGTGGGCCATAAATGCTGAAACGTATGTGGAAGCATCCTGGGGTAATGTAGAATTAAACTGTAAACATCATGACCCTCGGGGGTAGGGCGGGCCACAAAAGGGGATTCAAGTTTTATATAGAAATATATAGGAAAAATTATTCTCAAGAACGAGTGAGCAAAGGAAAGCTGAAATTAGGTGGAAGCATCCTGGGGTAGAATAGATTCTAAATTATTAAAATCAAGACGGGGTTGGTGGGTGGGGGGATAGGAGGACACAATAGATATAGGAAGAGAGGAAATCTGGTAAAGAACTGCAGCATCAAAGTTTCTCGGGTGAGCGATGTGGCCCATGGGCCTCTTGTTCACTAGTTGAATTCAAAAATAATTTCAACTGTTATTTTTTTCAGGAATATTTCTACTTGTTACTTTTTACAGACTGTTTTTACATCATCATCCAAATTACTTTAACTACATTACTAGTAAATTAAGCAATTGTAATGGTATGACCACGTGAGACAACATGACACAACCCTAATGCGATACTACTGTAGAATTCTAAATAATTGTGAGTATAACGGATCGTGACAATTCAATATTCCTCATCCGGATTTTACATACGGTCACCCATAAGATGGAGTAAAATTAACAGATTTTATTTTATTTTTTTTATTTTCTGAGATATATTATAATTTTGTTTTAAATTTGATAGAAAGTGTTAAAAGTTGACGCCAGAAAGGTGTCATCGTTTTCAAAAAATTCATAATAAGCTTTGCCTTTGGAAAACTCGAATAGTTCATTAATTATTTAAACAGCATTGAGAAAGACAGATGTGTAAAATAAAGATTAAGAGAGAGGAAAGACACATTCAACGGCGAGAATTACAATCTAAAGGTTGTTATAATCCAAGTTCAAAGCAGCTTTTCCTTTTTCATTGTAATTTATGAACAAGATTATAAAAACAAATGACTTACATGTGAAATGTTTCGGATTAGCAGCAAAGTTTCGCGTAATAACGCCTGCGAATGATTGTGTTTATTCGCGAAAGAAACGAGTCACAATGCAAAAGATTTGTGGGATTTTTCCGCAAAAGCAAAGCCTTTTTACCCGTTTGTGACGCGTTACAGCGTGAAAATTAAGTCATGCATTTACATTTATAATTGTTACGCGTCATAACGCGATAAGTAACTAAAAAGTAACGCGTAAAAAAAACGAACATTTTTTTTGGCAAATGTTAATCGTTATAACGCGAAACAAACGCGTTTATTTTCGACTCTTTTGCGCTATTAGGCGTTTTGTAACGTAAAAAATGGACGCAATGGGCTTTCGTAGATTTCAATGTCCATTAGATCCCTTTCAATCTATCATACATTTAACTTCTCATTAGCTGAAAGTTCTATTTATTAGTCTCGAAATGGAAGTAATTTCTGTAGTACATGTATTATAATTTCCTTCTCCTGGGGAGGTTGCACATGTTTTTATCTTAACACCGATTAGAATGTTTCTTTTAAGCCCATTGTTTCAAGTCAATATTTGAAAATATATATTTTTTGTTTATTAAGATCTTTTTAATGCACCACTTATGCTCATATGCAGTTACATGTATTCACTCTGATTTTCAGGGTAAAGAGTCCCAAATATCACAGTCTAAAATTGTTCATCACATAATGGTTTTGTAATGTTTCTGCTAATTTTGTTCGAAACGCTAGAACTTCGTTTTCATTTTCCCCAAAAAACTCTAGATATGATTTACCATGAATCAAGTCCATCCACTTCAGAGGTATATTTTTGGTAATACCTTTCTGACATATAATAAAGAAAAGGACATTCGAACGATTTCTAGCGCAAATGGCTTCCATTCTGGCCATGTTCATTTCGTAATTACACCAGTATGATCCCAAGTAATCTGACGTCAGCATGCAAACAGTTCTCTGACTGTTATGAATGGCGTTCGTTATGTTGTCTGCTATATCAGTTCCCGGGATGAAATCTCTTTGATGAATACAAAGTCGGAGTTTGTGTTCCTTTTCAAGATATTCGACAATGTCCCTGACGAATTTGCCATTTTCCTCCGCGTATGATACGAAGGCATCAAAGTAGTATTTATGGGAATGTGCAACTTGTTGTCTCTGGTGGCTTCTCCTGTAGGCCCTGGCAACATAAAACATAAAGCGTAACCTCCATCGATATCGATATACGATACGACTTAAAATAATTGTAAGAATCACTAAAATCAATGAAGTAGTAACTATCATTAGCAAAGTGTAGGAAGCACAGTCTTTTTCCAAGTCCTTTATCAATTTTATTACATCATGAAATGACTGCATAGTTCCATTATCGAACAGACAAGTGTAATTATTTACATCCAGAAAAATGATGTTTTTTTGAAGATCCAATCCATGATAAAAAGTCTATGTTTTCACAAGAACATTGAAGAGGATTTCCAAGTAAATTTATAAGAATCCTGTTAACACAAGAAAATGTCAAAATTCCACGAGTACTTGAGTGAATTTTAGTTAGCCTATTAAAAGAAAGATCCAGAGAGGAAAGTATTTTCATATGCTTTATACTCAAGTCAAAGTGATTTAGGGAGTTACCGCTTAAATTAAGATTTTTTAAATTTACCAGGCCTTTGAAAATATTTTTCGGTTAAAAAGGTTATTCTGTTATAAGCAAGATCTAACATTTGCAGAAGATTCTGATTCTGAAATATGAAGCCATCTGCATCATTTTCTAAAGTTTGTCCTAAGATATTATTAGAGAGGTTTAAATGAAGAAGATTCTCGAAGTCAGTGAAAAAATTCTTCGAAATGTGGCCACAAAAGTTGTTTGAAAGATCCACGTATCTCAGATTCTTCAATCCTATAAAAGGTCCTTCCAACCTGTATATTATATTATTTTGTAAATGTGCATGCGTGAATTTTCCTGTATTCTTGAAATGGAACTTTCCAAGTATCATCTTATACATATTGTCATGGAAATAAAGTGAGTGTAAGTTTGGTGGAAAATAAAGGGTAACATTGTCCTTAGGATTAGTCAAAGGAGCTACCTTTTCTTTGAATGAATTATAATCTGATAAACGATATTCTGGTAAGATATTAGAGTTACATTCCCTAACGAATTTTGTATCATTGCAGTGAAAAGAAAATTGATGGGGAGCTATGAGATGAAATGTGGACTCAAAACTTGCATTTAAAATTTGCAGGTTTGATAACGCACCAAAATTGGTCAAATACCGGTAACTGAAAACTTAATACATTGTCCCCGATATTTAGAATTCGAAGTGTTTTTGGCAAGTCTAAGAGCAGACCAAATTCAATATAATTAAGTCTGTTAGATGCAATATTGAGTTCTAAAAGTCAGCGTTTGAAGATATTGCACGCGGCGTCTTTGTAGAGACGTGTCATTTTACATGTGTACGGCTCCTCAGCCTCAGTACCTTGATTGAAGTAAATTTAAGTTGAAGATATGTTTGGCAAAATAGAGATGGTTAGTTCTTTGTTGTGTGATAAATCAAATGCTGAGTTTTATCAGATACCCGAAAGCGCCTTTTTCCACGAATTTTACCTCGTTTTCCGATATTGTAAAATTTTTTAGAAAAGGAGTATTTTAAATGCATCTTTTGTTATGGTAGATATTTCGTTTCTTGTCAGATTAAGGAACTTAATACTTGGGGAAGGTTTGTTGGATATGCATGAATTTATTGTGGCCAAGTTCGCTGACGACTTTTGAAGATAAAGTTGGCGCGGATCTTAGGTGGCGATCTGAACAATCCGCATGGATATAGCCATTCACTTCAAGCAAACACAGATTTGTCCAGAGGAACAATTCTTATCATACAGAGAATCTACGAGGACAGTAGCTGTACCGTATACAATAAAAAGAAACCGGTGTATCTATGATTCCTTTCAATAAATAGACAGCCATTTTTATAAAAAGTTTTAAAGAAATCTTTTTTTTAATTTTACCGTTAGCATAAATCGCTCTGTAAACTCTCTGAAAAATATGTGTTTCTCTGATAATTGTCATTAAACGACACTTCTATTTCCATGTTTTTTTCTGAAAGGCTCTAATGACTCTAAGAAAGTTAATTGTGTTTTTTTATTAATGGAGAACTGAATGTGAATTTTGAATGTCGGAGCTAAAGTGCTTAGAATCACAAATCCCGTGGCAATATCCTATATTATGACGTCAGTGACGTTGACTTGGAAATAAGAGGAATCCTTCGTGTATTTCATACTACAAAACAACATTGTATAACATTTTGATTAATATTAATAATTTGATTTCACAAGAAATTGAAATAAAATGAATCACTGTCTAGTTAAAATGCAAATTATTCCACGTTTCTAACTGTCGAAAGTGCTTTAGTATATACCCGACGTCTAGAGAATAACTGCTTCACTAATTCAATGAGAAATAAATTAATACTTATAAGTATGACATTACTATCATTGGAGTCAGGACTGCGAGGGGGAGGAACTAAAATTTCCAATTTTTTGCAAAGACAATTGATACAGCCATTTGGAAATTAGGTTCAATTTTAAATTGTTTTTAAAACAAAGACCCCAAATGGGGATA